TCCAATCGGGGCCAAAATTTATAAATATGTGATATCTTTGACTATAGTAGCATCGACGTATGGGGTTGAGGCTTAGGAAATCTGATGTAAAAATTTGCTTCCTCCATTTAAGGACCACCATTTTGTACATATATACCATTCATATCACTATTAGTATATTATTTATATCCTTTCTTATTTGAAGCTATTGAATTTAATAAATTACAAACTCACACCCAAATCAACAGAACCAACCCCGAAAATCTCAATCAAAATCTGAAGAAAAAATCCTACCAAAATAGGAAATAACCTCAAAACATTAAGCAGGCGACTCACTCTCGCCTCTCACTTCGGCGTCACTGTGACAATCGTCTGAGTGTGAAGGAGAGTGGGTAATGTACCTGAAAGCGTAAAAGCGTGCAATCGTAGCCTCCGTTTGTTGCCACGCCACCAATCATCCAGGCAACACCGCTCAATAGCTCAGCTGGGCTAGGGCGGTGGTGCGCCACTGTAACGTGATGTGGGTGTTTTCCTGTCTGGCAGGCGTTGAACGTACCAACTAATAAAGCCTGACACGTGGCATCAACAATGAAACGCATTAAAGTCGATTACAATATGAAGTTCCTTAGTGGCATACATCCTGCATTCATTTTCCGCTTTTTTGTTGGTGTTTTTACTGCACTTTTTTCAGTTTGGGTTTGTTATTAAGCTTACTAACAATTTCGTGTGAACATGTGCGAGTGTGTGTGTGTCTATTAATATCTCTATACCTTTGATTTTGTACACCGTTATATTATATACATACATACATATTTAACCGTTAAGAACGTCACTTAGATATTTTTGGTGCTAAAAATTGTTAAAACATTTCGTCGGACGATACCCTACAGCTGAGCACTATAGACATTTTGATCTTCAAAAAAGCGGTTTTTTATTAAAGGAATCGCCTTCTTCTTATTTGGCACTACAACCTTTTGTTGGTCTGGGCCGAGGCCAAAAAGCTTTTCCAATTGCCTCTCTCCTCTACGAATTTCCCTTGTTTTCGTTGCCCACCCATGGGTGCGGAGTCGAAGGATATTTTCACTAGAGCGTCGACATCCATTAACAAAAAATCAATTTTTTAACACCGAGAAAAAATTATTTACAGACTCTTACGAGAGCTTTCAGACCCCCTAATAAATATGTTTTAAGGCGTTAGAAGGTTTACGATATTGTTTATTGTTTATTTATTGCCCAAAACTAAGTGTGATTACAAATATTCTCAGTGAATAGGATTAAATCTAAGTATACTTAGGGCCGTTTTCACCAACTCTGATTAACACTGATCGCCAGTTAAACATCGTTGCCGACGCTTCTGACTCCATGCATATTACATTGTGTCGGTAACGTCGGCAACGATGTTTAACTGGCGATTAGTGTTTACCAGAGTTGGTGAAAACGGCCCTTAGTCCTAGCAAGCAACAAACTTTTATCTAGGATTTCTAATATTATTTAATTACCTTTACTGTAAAGTATGTATAAATGAACTAAACTTTATTTTAATTTCGTTTTTACTTTTTAACGACATATGACAATAAGACACTTGTGATACATACACAAATGTATGATTTATTCGAGTGGCATGTATCTAGATTCTAGAATCTTATTTGATTTTCGTAGTTTAATTGAGTTGTGTATGGTTTTCGTTAAATCTATCGATAGATCTAAAAATATGTGTAGTTATTCCTTGATTAGAAAAATCGTTTTTAAACCCGTTTTCATTATAAATACATAAATAACATTTGATTTTACTGAAGGATTTCCTTCAAACAATGCCTGTAGTTACCGTTAAAAGCATATGTATAATGTTAAAAATTCCAAGTAGAGTCCAGTGCTTCTCTATACTTATTCTTTCCAATGTAAAGCACGCCGTCAACTTCCTTTAACACTCCCAGCAAGTACCCCATCGAAAACCTTTAGGGCTGCAGCTTTTCCATTCATTCGTACAATATTGCCGAACCAACGAAGCCGGTGTGAATTTAATTGACAACGAGCAAGATTTCATAAATATTAAGCCGATTCATTCTCTCGTGCACTTTAACGGCCGCAGAGGCTTATATAGTGTTGTTTCTGTGCCTACCCAGCCGAATCTAGCAATTTTCAGCAAGAGCTATTTCTAATCTAATGCTGGTGCCATAATGTGTTATGTATTGCCAGCTTCGCCATCAATTTCAGTAAAAAATTATTTTTCTCTTCAATCAGTATCTATATTCGCAAAAAAAAAATATTTTTTTTCCCCCTAAATTATTTTCTTGAAACTGGAGTTTTACTCCGTCGAAAAAAAAAATTAGTTTTGGAGCACAAAAAAAAAATATTCACTGCTTTTCTACACCCTCATGTTCGGTTTGGCTGGATGTAGCGTACCGCCTCTTGTAGGTGGGAAAACAGAAGGCAAACTCGTTTACTATTTTGTTCGCAGCAAATCCGTGAACGCAATGAATGGATTTTATGAAACCCCGCAAATTGCAGGTAGAATATCAAAGATTTCCATGGAGAAACCGTGTCGGTTGCCGTCGTTCTATGTACTTTCGAACGTGCCATTAATATTTCCGATAAATAGTTAGATACTATTGGCGTATGCATACAGTGGGGAACAGTGATGTACGACGTATGTACATTGACCGTACATATGTATGTATTTTATAAAAGGCTTTTAATAATCATGTAGAACGTGACATTAGGTCATTACATGTTCTATAAGATTCGCGGCACGCATAATATTCGGCCCATTATAACATACAAATGTTACATATTCACGAGTTGGCCCACCATTTATCGGCCTGCTGAGTGGAAGATCGACCCATCTTGGCAGCCAGTTCGAAAATGCTCTATCTCAAAAAAAAAACGTTTAAAGAACGCCCTATTCAGAATTCGTTTCAAAATCGCCCTATCTCAGCTGCCGATTCAAAAACGCCCTATATCAGCACATTTTCAATAAATTTTGAATTGAGATAGGGTGTTTTTGAATCGAATTCTGAGATAGGGCATTCGTCAACCAAATTCTGAGATAGGGTGTTTTTCAAAAATATTCTGAAATCGGGCGCTCTTGAAAAGTTTTTTGAGATGGGGCGTTTTCGAACTGGCTGCCGAGATAGGTCGATCTTCCACAAAGCAGTCGACATATAATTTGTATTTTTATCAAATTCGATTGACTATTTAAAGGTGCTGCTGCATGGGCGTACATTTCCATATTCATAGCTTTTCTTTATTGTGTATTTTGGTTTTCATGAAAACAGTTTTTTGAAACCACGCTTAAAATTAGCAACCATTAATGCACCGCTGAATGCCAACAAGTGCTCCTTGTATTCTTCGCTAGATTTTTTTTATATCAAAGTCAACAAGAGTGATGAAAACATACGAGTGCATAACAGATTATACATTTCCTTGAATGTTGCAAAACAGAAATGCATTTCCCGCAAAAGCCAAGGATCTGTGGTGCCACCTGACGACTGCCTTGCGATTTTCGTGTTGCATTGGCAAATTTAAATGCGCTAATATTTCTTAGCCAAATGTCAATGCTGACAAGCGGTGACAAATTAAGGCAACGCAAGTGAAGAGAATGGCGGATGCAAGCATACATACACACACACATACACACGTAGTATGCTTATAAATATGTACTTTGTAGCTGGCTCAACTGACAAGTGCAGATAAGCGAGGATAAGAATGGCTTAATTTGTGTGTGTGTGTGTGTGGCAACCGAAGGGGGTCGCTTAAATATTATTTAGTTGCCAAGCATAAAAAGTAAAATAAAATCCTTTGGCAATAACCTTCAGGTGACATTTGGAATGCAGTGGGACATACATACATAC